AGAATTCAGTCACCAAGCAGGCCACCCATGCCTTGGGACTTGGCCATCTTGCCTCCGGGCAGCAAGAGGCCCTCATTCAGAAGCCCATGATGCTGGCACTGCCATCCTGAATGACCCAGGATCCAGGGTCGTGAGCCAAAATGAGTCTCGATTCTGTTACACTGCCAGAAAATGGGATCGAGACCACCAGTGGCTGCCTCTGACCTCCTGCTCCCAGCAGACATCTGCCCCTGAGCCTTTTGTGATTTATGTGTGTCCTTCTCTCTCCTCCTCCTGGCTAACAGCACCTCTGCCCAGCACCTGGGGCCCATGATAGAAACAAAATGTGTGTTCAGTGGATGTTGGGGGAAGTTACCTGCGGTTCTGTAATTCTTGTGTTTCCCACAAGGTGGCGGTGTCCCACTCACCCATGGCCACCGCACACACCTTGCACAGCAGAGGAAGCTTTGAGAAAAGATGCAGGAAAAGGGACATTAAGGGCTTTCCTCAAAGGTTTTGGGTGGTCCCTCCACCTCCCCATTAAAGCGCCATTGCACAGGCAGCAGTACGGCCTGGTTCACCACAGCCAGGCCTGGGTCCGCCCACCTCCAAACCGCTAGCCCTTCCTGATCTCACCTCAAACCCACCCTCCTCTCCATACAGCACTGCTAAAGGCTGGCTGGGCTGTCTTCACCCTCCTGCCTGTACCCTGCTCCCTCTGAGCCCCTGCCTCCACATCCTCCCAACCAACACCTGTGACTCTTCCAGAATCTTCCAGGCGATCTTCTTCCACCCTGAGCTGCCTTCCTGCCGTCACACAGTCCAGAGAAACTGCTTCTTTGCCCACATTTTCCTGAGCACATGGCTGATGCAATTGGCATCCTCATGTTCAGTACAGGCATGGGACCCAGATGGAATGGCCAAAGGAGCAGCAGGCAGCTCAAGGCAGTGAGGGGAGAGCACCACCAACCAGCCAGCCACACTTGGTGTTGCTCACAGCCTAGGCAGGCATCCAGCTCTCTGGCTCAGTAGAGACCTGCGGTTGTTTAGAAAGGAGCTGGGATGAGGGTGGGTTGCAAGAAGCATTGGCTCCCCCCATAAGAGACCAAGTTGTGCTGTCGTCTAAGAATACGAACTTCCTGTTGGCAAGATGACATCTCTTCAGGTCATTTGCAAGGAAACAGTGGTGTAGAACATTCTAGGGGCTTCTATGGGCCCCTCCTCTAAGTGGTGTTGAGTCTGAAGGTTGCTACATGTCTATGGCTGAAGAACTAGGAAGCAGCTATCAGGTGGGAACCCTGTAGGCTGACCTGGCTCCTCAGGGGAACGCTTAGGGCAGAGTCACCGCATGCTGTGGCACATAGCCCTTCCCTCCAAGATGCTGGCCTCCCTGTCAGTCCAGTGACCTCTGGCTCTAGATTAGGTCTGAAAATTGGCAGGATACTGGCTGTGCACTGCGGTAGCTTAAATCCAGCATTTGGACACTGGACTTGGAGTTGTCCCTGTTGCTTGAAGCAGGTGATGATGCTTTAGTGAGAGGCCCCAGGTACAGCATGCCTAGAGGTACCTGCCTACTTCACACCCACTTCACCATCCTGTCCTCTGTGACCTCCATGCGCTGCTACAGTTGGAATTGCCATTGGGGTACAGCAGGTTAAGCTGCCCCTCATGATGTGTCATCCTGTGTCAGAGTGCGGGTTCAAGTCCCGGCTGCTCTGTTTCTGACCCAGCTCCCTGCTAATGCACTGGAAAAAGAGAAGATGACCTGAGGACTTGGGGCTACTGCCACCCTCATGGGAGACTGGGACAGAGTTCCAGGATCCCAGCTTCAGTTGGGGCTGCCATTAGGGGAGTGAAGCAGCCCGTGGAAGACAACGCTGACTGTATGTCCTAGATCAACACACTGACAGTCTTCTCCTGCACTGTTCTCCAGATTGCCATAACAACACAGCAACACCTAGCATTCCTTTGGCATGGGAGTGCCATGTCCCTAGTCAGGTCTTATGTCCGCCCACACAGGAGCACAGGAGGCTCCCGTGCCCACTAAGAGCTCAGTGGCCATGGAAGGGAGGTTTTGGAGGTCTTTCCCTGGAGACATTACTACAGAGGAGCTTCACAGCCACCGAGGGTGTGGGAAGTTCAGGTTAAGGGTGTCAGAATGGCAGCCTCACCTGAGTCTGTCCTGATGTCCCTGTTTCAAGCCTTCATTTCTCATTGCTTCCCAATTGATGCCCTAACCACCACAAAAAAAATGAGCAAGGCTGCAAGTTCAACCCACATTGTTAAGTTACATGTAGCTAATCCTGCAGCTGCAAGAGATGTTTTAATAATATCATATTTTTTTTAAGAGTTGCCTGTTTGAAAATCAAAGTTAGAGAAAGAAAGAATTTTCTATCTGCTGGTTCATGCCCCAGATGGTCACAATGGCCATAGTTCAGCCAGGTTGAAGCCCTCTACCCTCAGCTGTCACTTACAAGGCTACTCCAGAAGTCCCAGTCCTCAGACTAAGCCCCCATGTGTGTCTGAATCCAGGCCATGAGCACAGAGGGAGGAAACTCCTGCCCACTCTTGCTGCATGACCCAGCCAGTGCCTGGGACCTTACCACCTACCAGACATACCAGGCCCACCTCCTCCTCCCCTGCTGGGAGACTACCACTTCTCCTCCTTTCCCATCATCCTGTAAGACAGTGTTAATTGGCACCCTGAGAAATAGGAGGAGGGCAGGCAATCAGAAGAGGAACCAGACACTGTCGATCACCTTCAGATAAGGGCGGGTTTTCCTGCCCAGGGCCTTTGATGTCACTGTTCCCACACCTGCCACAGCGTTCCTCTTACTCCCTAAGGAGAATGCACGTAAGATGCAAATGGACCTTCAAACTACTGTGCCTCCCAGCAGCACCAGTTCACCAGAATTTCCTAACAATGATCACATTTCTTCAAGGTCTGCAATAAGAACCAGCAAGTCTTCACTGGGGACAGTCACTTCCAAGCACATTTTGTCCAGGCCAGCTCTTGGGGGGGGGGGGCGGCGTATCAGGGTCAAGCATCATACCATGGGAGTGGTGACTTCGTCAGAGGGTCAGCCGCACACTGCTAACTGCTAACGTTTAGAGGACTAGGAAGGCATCCCTGCCAAGCAGACAGAGTTGATCCCCCCAGCTTTCCCATTCGGTTTAACGCCGTGTTTTCTCCATATTGAGAAAAGGTCTTACCTTCTAGTATGTATGCCTGTTACCAGACAAAAGAGCCAGCCCCTTATGGTCCAGCACCGCAGCCTATTCACCAGAGCCTAGCGCTGGAAGGAGGAGAAGATTTACTTCAAGAAGCTGGCAGTCCCTGGCAATTGCTGAGCCCTGGATCTAAAACACGCTCTTTCCCTCTGACAGGCTGCACAAAGGGTTTTTAAAGCCCAGGGGAGGTTGCAGGTGGAGGTTAGACAAACCGTCAAGTTCATTCACTGGACAATTAAGCAGCCCCTCGGGCTGTTCCGATCATGCTCCATTTGCACCAACTGCAAAATCCAAGGGGCGGCCAGGCAGAGGCTGGTCCACAGTGGAACTCAGTGCCCCCAGTTGCCAGCTGCGTACCGCGTCCCAGCTGGGTGTGGGGGTCAGCTCTGCCAGGCCTCTCCTCTGCAGGCTCCAGGAACTCCGAGACGATGTGGACGAGGAGTGGATGTGGAGTGAAATGTGGCGACTCTAAGGGAAGAGCTGCTGCAAGCCAAGCTGTGGCCTCCACCTCCAGGAACTAAAGAAACACAAAGGATAAGTAAGACAAAGAGGGGAGGCTGCCGAGCCTGCCTGCAGCAGGCGTGGGACTCCGCGGACTGCTGGTTGCTAAACCCTGAGTGTGTGCATTCCTCACGCAGCTGTAATCAAATCACTATTCAGAGCAACAAAAGCATGGAAAAAACACAAGTTTTTGTGCCACTAGTTCTGTGTAAAATTACCTCGACCAAGGCTATCACTCCATAGGAGCAAAGTCTTCTCAGTAGTTTATCACAATCAAGTCACTGTACCCAAGAAATACCATGCCTTTGTATGGCACTAGGACACACACACAGAGCCAACTTCCCACCAATGGCACTAGAAACCTCATGCCAGCAGATGGTCAGAGATGGGGAGACTATGCAAAATAGGAGGAAGAGTCAAGGACACGGTAACACGTACCCCACCGGACTACATGTGCATGCTTTAAAGGGTGGGGCTCTGTATTCACACCTGCTTTTTTTAAAAAGCGTATTTATTTGTAAGACAGAAGTTATAGAGAGACAGAGGGAAAGACAGAGATGGAGATCACCCATCTGCTGGTTCATTCCTCAAAGGACTGCAACAACCAGAGCTGGATTTGGTCCAGTTCGAAGCCAGGAGCCAGGAACTTCAGCGGGTTCTCCTGGGCCTCCGCTGCCCTCCCAGGTGCATTAGAAGGGAAGTGGAGCAGCCGGAACTGAAACCATAGTCCCAGTAGTATATCAGCAACCCAGGCTAACCAGCAGCTATGGCCCCCCTCACCCATGCTTTTCTGCAGGAATAGAAAATTTCTGAAAAGACACACCAGAATCTGACAACAACACTGGGCTCTAAACCCGGTCGGAGTTTCATCTCACATGTTTGTTTTTGAAAACTGCCGAATGCAAAAATAAGATCACAAATATCATAAACACAAGAAAATGTAACATGTAATAATTAAGGAGCTTATTTCTGGGAGTCAGCCTTGCACCTGCAAAGCAGAATCAAATCCTGACTCTACCGTGGCAACCTCGGGCAAGTTCTGTCTGCACTGAGGCCCCAAGAGTCCAATCAGTTGTCCAGGAGCTGGCCAAGACACGCGGCTGCAGCTCAGAGCCCCGAGGCGACGAGCCCACCTTCCCCAAGCCTGTCCCGGGCCAGGGCAGCGGGGTGTAGGCACCCCGCGGTGCGGGCCCGGCCAATCAGCGGTAGCGGGGCGGGCGGGGTGGCAGCGCCACGCGCGCCCGATCCGAGCGCTAAGCAGAGGCGCCACCGCTGTCCCAGAGCAGGCCATGCCGCGCTCACCGCTGCTGCTGCTGCTGCTGTGGCTGCCGCCTCTGGCCCCGGGCCTCGGGCTCCACGGCGCTGGCAGCCCTAGACGCCCGGAGTGCGGTCCGTGCCGGCCCGAGCGCTGCCCGGCGCCCGCGCACTGCCCGGCGTCCGGGATCGCGGCACGCGATGCGTGCGGCTGCTGCACGCTCTGCCTGGGCGCCGAGGGAGCGAGTTGCGGGGGCCGCGCCGGGGCACGCTGCGGTCCGGGCCTGGTGTGTGCCAGCCAGACCGCCGGGGCGGCGCCCGAGGGTACTGGGCTCTGCCTGTGCGCGCAGCGCGGCGCTGTCTGTGGCTCCGACGGCCGCACCTACCCCAGCGTTTGCGCGCTGCGCTTGCGCGTCCTGCACCCGCCCCGCGTGCACACCGGGCACCTGCACAAGGCGCGGGACGGCCCCTGCGAGTTCGGTAAGTCGAGGTTGGCGGGGTGGGGGTGGTCCCGCGGGACTGGGGTGGGTAGAGAAAGCGGGACTCCCTTGCTCAGCCAGACAAAGCTGTCTTGCGTTTACGAACAATGTCTCTCCTAAAGCTCTGGGGGGAAACGGGGTGGAATGCCCAAGCTAGGCCCTCCTTTCCCTCAGCCTGTGGATACACCGACCGCAGAGCTCGGGTGGATTTGCCATCTTGGTGTTTCAAGTTTTCTGCTGATGCAAGGGGAAAGTGGACTCCCCGCCTTCCCTCCCCCTCCCCCAAAGGGAGTTGGGCAAGGTGACTCTCACGGGGTCTGAGTTCCCTGGCCTCCCATACTTGGTGAATAGTTACAAGGTCCTGGAAAGAAAAGTGGGGGTACCCCAGGAGGACCAGCCACAGACGGGACCAGGTGTGGAATGAGGGCACTCTCCCGCCCGGGGCCTTGGAAACACACGCCCCGTTAAATTCCAGTACAGTCATCTCTGGCTGCCATAGCTGCCCACCCTTTCTAGATACAATTTTTAAAAGGAGCAGAGAGAAGGTAAGTGTTATTGTGGGAATAGGGCTTCCGGTTTTGCTGCCTGGCTAAGTGTGGGCGTGGCCCCACCATTCATTTCTCAGAGAACTGCCCTAGTCAGCTCTGCCTGGAGGGGGCAGCCTAGAGCTTAGGGGTAAGGAAGCCGGTCCCAAGGAGCCTGGCTTGCATCCTGGGGGGCTTCAGGTTTCTTGGCAGGGGGGGGTTACTTCTGGCACCTGAAGCCTGGAGACCATGCCCAGACTTAAGTGCTGAGCTCAGTGAAATGGCTTCAAGCTTCTGGAAGGAAGCTACTGCAGGGCTGAGGCCTTTTCTAAGTAGATGGAGACCTGGTGGGGTGTTGGAGATGGGGCAGGCTGCTGGCTGGCTGGAGAAAGGTAGGGAGGACTGGAACAGGTGACTCACTGAGCAGGAAGATGCCTCCATCCTGGTGCGACCAGGGAGGGCAGAGCTGGTGGGATGCTCCTAAACTGCTCCCCCCCGCCCCCGCCCACCCTTAGGCAGGTCCCTTCCCTCCCTCTTTGGCACCACGGTGGCAGTCCCTTCCACTTGATCTGCTCTGTGGCATTTCAGCACCCCCGACCCTTCCCTGCTCCTTGCCATCACTTGTTTGTTCCAATCTGCTTTCCTCAGCGGTTCTTTGGCAGGCAGGTCTCTTTGTCTGCGTGCAGGTGACACTGTACCTCACACACAGGAGGCATGGGAAAATGCTGACCAGGTTCCAGCCTCTCGGAGGTGGTGATGGCCTCAGAGCATTTCTGCACCTAAGAGAGAGATGCCCAGAAGGTGTGTCAGCAAAATCTGCTATTATGTAGGGAAGGAATTCAGGGTCCACAGCCAGTAGGATACCTGTCTGAGATGTGCTGTAGAGGCTGACCAGCTCCCTAGGTTTCCAACCCCTTCCCAGGGCTAAGCAGAGGCAGGGGTCTGAGGACAGACCCCTGATAGTGTTAAGTCAGGCAGATGGTGGTTGCCATGGTGACCAGAGGGAGACCAGATGGCAGATGGAAACCCCATACCCCTAATTCACTGAAAATTACCAAATGACAAGTAAAATGTGACAGTCCCTGGGCTCTGTTGTCTGGGCTCAGGAGCCCACCTCAGACTTAAGTCCACCAATAAAGATATGCGGGGGACCAAGGAAAAGACTTGGAGACTCCTCCTGGCCAGGTTGGGGAGACCTCCTATCTGGTCAGGCTCGGAGGGGGGTGAGAGCCCAGACAGCCCCTCCTCCTGGGCTGCCCTGGAGCCATCTTTTATTCAGGAGACTCAGCAGGAGCAGTTTTTAACGACATCCCAGGGGGCTGGGGCAGTGAGCTGACTGTAGCAGTTCTGTTTCTATATTGGAGGGTGGGCCCCGCCTCCTCCCCACCCCACCCTAATCCTCCAGTCCAGCCAAGCCCCTGGCCTTGGCAACAAAGAAACCTTGGTGAAGGAAGAGTGGTGCAGGGACCTGTTCTTACGCCCACCTCCTCCTCTGAAGGGAACAAGCTCACCTCCTCCTCTGAGAGGAACAGCTGTTAGCTTTTAGCTGGCCTGCTCCGTTCTGAAAGGCCCAAGGCAGGTGGTCCTTACCAGGATGTATCTTGGAGACCTGTGTAGGAGCCGATGGTTACTCTTGGAAACTGATCTTACACTTACTACAACTCCTCCCATTCAGAAGAAGGGAAAATGGAAGTGGGCAGGGATCTGCTCCCAGCTAAGATGCATTCTGGTTCCACTGTGCCAGACTCTTTCCAGGTTCCTGTCTGGCATGCATACCTGATGCCATGTAAGGGGCAGGAGTTTGGCCTAGTGGCTAAGGCATCACTTAGTACCCCGTGTGCCACCTTGGAGTGCTGGGTTCAAGTGCCTGCTACGCTTCCGACCCAACTTCATGCCGGTACATCTGGGAGGCAGCAGATGATGGTTCAAGTACTTGGGTCTCTGTCTCCCACGTGGGAGTCCTGGATGGAGTTCTGGCCTGGTGGCAGCCGTTTTGAGCTTTTGGGGCATTAACCTGCTGAGGGAGCTTTTCTTTTGTCTGTCTTCTATTTCAAATACACAAAATGAATAAAAATGCACAAATCAGAAGAGGAAGACCTGGGAGGTTGGTAGCCCTGCGCCTCCAGGGTTTCTCAGTCGGGAGTTGTATCCTGCTGGTCCCCAGGCCTTGTTGGTCATCCCTGTTTAGTGCTAGGTGGTGGTATCTGGGAGGAACGGGCAGAGCCCATAGAAGGGGAGCCTCAAAGGTTGACCCTGGGAGAGGCGCAGCATGAACAGGGCATGGAAGTGGGAGGTCCTGTGGCAGGTACCTGGTGGGATGGAGAGAGGGTTCAGGGAATCTGAGGGGTGTGTGGCCAGAGCCACTGCCGGGCCTGAGTGCTGTCCTAGGTTACCAGTTCTGTTTCTCACCTGCAAGGTAGAATGGCCTCAGGACACTTGTTACTGCTGCCATGGCTTTCAAAGGCTGGGCTATTGATTGCATGCACCCTGTCTGTGAGCACCAGGGTGGGGAAGGGGCTGGCAGGCTATACATGGCACACGGCAGTTGTGTTGTTACAGGATAGCCAGAATTGGGTTTCTGGGCCAAGAACCAGCAGCACACGGAACCGCAGCAGCCACCCTGAGTCTGAAGAACTTAAACCTCGACTGAATGAAATCGCAGCCCCATTTAGAGACCTCTGGGCTAGGCACGCGTTGCCAGATGACCAGGGGAGGAAGAGGCGGTAAAGGCCGTTTTGCATGAGACACAAAGAAAGGGACCTTGTGCCCTAAAACATTTGATGCAGGGACTCCACGATGGCTGCAGGCAGTGTCGGACAGTGGCTCAGAGTTTCCGGTTCCACCTGGCAGGCAGACTGTCAGCTTACATCCCCGGGATTTCTAAGCACCCGGATTATGAAACCCTTAGATGGTGTGCCTCTGAGGACAGCAGGTGGAATCCAGACCGTGGCTTTGGATATCTTCTCTTTGTCTGGCACCATGAAAGAAATCTGAGACATCTGGGCACATGTTTTGTTTCAGGCCTCAAGGAGGACCAATGTGACCACAGGGTATGGGATGACTGAATCCCATGTGCTCAGTATTTGGCTGCCCACCCTGGGTGACCCTTCTGTGTTACCTGCTAGGTTCCCCGGAGGTACCAGGCTTGGACAAGCCGGGGCAGTGGACATTCGGAAACTAGGCAGACCTGGAGTGCCCTCTCCCGAGAGCCACATGACTCACCAGTGGCAGCGAGAAATTCAGGCACAGTCCTCCCCGTCCTGGGGTATGGCGAGGGGCTGTGTGCTTCTGGCTAGTCCCAGGCTGAAATCCAAATGAAGTTCCAGGCTCCTGGCTGCAGCCAGGGGCTGCAAGATCTCTCTCTGTCTCTCTGTGTTTCAAATAAAAATGAGTGTGGAAATCAGTGGAATCAGGGGTGCCTTCCCACCCCCCCCCAGGTATCCCATCTGTTAAGATGAAAACACTCCACCGTATCCTGAAAAGCAGATGAAGGGCTAAAGGGGTAGTGAACTTGGGAGAGTCCTCTGAGGGGGGAGGCGAGGAGCTGGGGTTCTGGGGCTGAACCTCAGGGCCCAGCAACTTGGTGAGCTGGTGGGAAGGGGCATCCATCCCCTGGGGAAGCACCTGCAGGCAGCGAGCTAGCCTGTGGCTAGTACTGTTGTTAGGACGAACCCTGTTGTGGTTCAGGACACTGCCCTAGCCTACAGAGGGTTAGGGGACAGGACAGGAGGAAATGTCCGGAGCTAAGGGAGCTGCTGTATGAGCTGGTTGTGTGGGAATTTACACCACCGCCTGCGTGCCTCGGAGCTGCCTACAGAAAAGATGACGATCCCGCATCCTCAACTTAATAATGAATAAAGAAATGGAACCCAAAACGCCCCCTTTAAGGAAAAAAAAATTTTTTTTTTCTGCCAGGAAGCCAGTGACAAGCTGGCGTCTGTGGAACTAGCTTTCTTAGTTGTTCCCAGGAGAGAGGATGTGATTTACTGGATTATGCATTGAGGCCTGCACCTGGGTGAGGGAAAGAGAGCCGGAGGAGAGAGAAACGCGAAACGCACAGCTGGCGGCCGGAGGGCCGGGAGGCGCGAGGCGCGAGGCGGTGCGCAGTCCCCGCCGGAGCCCTCGGAGGAGCCGGGAGAGAAGCCGGGCGCCGGCGGAGAGGAGGCGGCGGCCCTCAGTCCCTTTTGTCGGCACCGCCGACGGGCGCTGAGGAGAGCGCCGCCGCTTCGGGGCTGCTTGGGCGAGTTAGGGGTGCGGGCCTTGTTCACTGCAGGCTTAGGGTCAGCAGCGCCCCTGGGAGGGCGGCCGGGTGGGCTCGCCCGGAGGGAGTGAGCTGTGAGGGAGCGGCGAGCGGCCGACGGCCAGGCCTGTTTACCTCGCGGGAGCTGTGGGGCTGAGCACGCGGGTTACCGAGAGGCGGGGCTCAGGAAGAGGTGGGGCTTACGGGGAGGCGGGACTAAGAGGGGCGGGGCTTGCCGGAGGTGGGCGTTGACAGGCAGGCGGGGCTTAGAAGGGGGCGGGGCTTACAGAGGGGGGTAGGTTAGTGCCGAGGAGACTAGATCTTCCTTCCCAGCCCAAGCTCGCCTGACCCTGTAGGTAGTGAGCTGTCTGTCTGTGAGATCATGCAAGTAGAGGCTGGCGGGGCAGGACACAGATCACAGGCAGGTTTGGCATGTTGGGGGTTTGAGGCTGGCTCTCAGGGAGATTTTAACATTGGCTTGCCAGTGTCTGCCTCTGCATCCGTCTGGAAGGGCCAGACAGCTTCAGACAGACCTGCACCCTTGGGGGCGGTTTGATCTTGTCCTTCACCCATTCCCCCTGCCTCACCCCCGCCTCTGCTAACCTTGCCGCAGTGGGAGAGGATCCCCTCCAACCCCAGGGCTGAATGTGTGCCACCAAGCAGGGCCCTAGAGGGACCAAGAGTCTGCCACCGGATGGTCTGGAAGGACGCTCTTGTTTGTTGCTTGTGTCCTCTGCTGCCCAGCCCTGCTGTTGAGCCCCATGTGGGCATCCTGCTTGCTAAGCCATCACTTTCTCCACCCACTGTAATCACTCCCTAGTTAGATCTTACGGGTGAGGAGGCCTGAGCTGAGAGCATTTCCCCGGCTACGCCTGCACCTTGTACTTGCTCTGGACACTGTAGAGCTGGTCTGTGGTGTAGCCAGGCCTGCCGTCCAGTGCAGGTGAGCCCAGCTAGAAGCTCGTGGGCTACGGGCGCACCCCTCCGAGTCCTACACAGCAGGCGTCCTGTTAGTTTCTGTTAGGTTAGAGAAGCTGGAGAAAACGGGATGTTTCCATGCAGAGGGAGGATCAGGAGGGCATGAAGAGTTCTGACATGGGGCCTGAAGGCCAAGGGTGCTGGAACTAGTTCTCGTAGCCCAGTGTAAACTGAGCAAATACAGCTAAGAATCTCTGAGGCAGAGCCCCCGTGCCCTCAGGTGCTGACCAGCCCTCCCTCACTGATCTGGTGCTCTGGCAGCTTAAAGTGATGTTTGCCCCCTTCCTGGAGTGGCCCAGGCTTGACTCAGCCCCTTCCCTGAGTTTTCAGGTGACGCTGGGGGTGCAGTGGGGTATGGAGATGGACTTTCAGCTCGGTGTCTTGAATGGGCAGTGGGAGGCCTGGGCTTGGAGGGCAGGGAAGTACATGCTGTGCTCTGAGTCAAAGCTTGTCTGTTAAGGGACTGCCCTGGGGCCACTGCATCGCAGGAGGGGTTACTGACTTGGCCTGCAAGCAGATGGCATCCAGGCCTGGAAGGGCCCCTGGGGTGGTAGTGGGGGGTGCTGAGCAGGACCTGCTGCCCATATGCTGGGGGGAACCTTGAAAAGTCTCCAAATGCCATCGGTGAACCAAAGGCAATTGGATTTGGGAAACAGGCAGGTGGCGATCAAGGTCTGGGAAACCTTATGTGTGTGCCCACCTGGGAGAAGTACCCTGTCTGTGCAGTCGTTGCCCTCATATCCTGACACCTCAGCCGGCAGGAGGACGTGAGCACTGGGGTGCCAGGCTCCCCGCCTGCAGGGTAAAGATGGAGTTCCCTGATCTCCTTCTTGCAGCTCCTGTGGTCGTCCTGCCACCGCGGGACACTCACAATGTCACCGGCGCGCAGGTGCACCTGTCCTGCAAGGTGAGGGCTGTGCCCACCCCGGTCATCACATGGAGGAAGGTACTTCTGTTCCAGAACCTGCGTGTGTGTGTGTGTGTGTGTGTGTGTGTTTGTGTGTAAAACAGAAGGGTGACTCAGGGGTGGGGGGGAATGGGTGGGACCAGTCGGGGAGAGGGAGTTTTTGACTTTGCAGCTATGTCCAGGAGCAGAGAGTTGAGGAAATGACACTTCCTAAACCTTCTCTGTGGCCCAAGCCCCTGGGGTGTGATCCTTCCCATGCCCTTTGGCTGGCTGGGAGCCCAGGAAGTTCTGCTGCCTATTTGTCCTCCCTGAGCGATGATGGTGGGGGTATCTGTGGCCCTAACAGCTGCATGTGAGTGAGCTGGAGCTGTTTCCTGGCCAGGCCTTGGAGATGGCCGTGTCCCGCCGCTGTCCAGCAGGTGGCACTGTGGGCCTGTACAGTTGGATCTGAGCCCCCACTGACCCCTTGTGAAAGGTGTGCCATCTCAGTGTCTTGGGGACAAGGACAAGGGTGGGGTAGTGACTATCCAGAAACGCCTTCTCTAGGTCCTTCCTCTTTGTTTTGTTTTGTTTCTGTCCTCTCCAGGTCTCGCAGTCTTCCGAGGGTGCCCAGGTGCTGGAAGGCTTGCCTGGGGACCACATCAACATAGCTGTGCAGGTGCGAGGGGGCCCATCAGAGCATGAAGCCACTGCCTGGATTTTGGTGAGTGGATCATTTGGCAGTTACCAACCGAATCTTTAGAAACCATCCTTTATGTGCCTGTGACATGTGACACTTCTCCCTGCTGCTCTGGGCCCTTCCTCATCCTTCAGGGACTGTGAGGGACACAGGACAGGTGTGTCAGTGACCTGCTGTGGTGGGCAGAACATGGCTCTCCTACAGACATCCACGTTCTCACCCCCAGAACCTGTGGCTCTGCCATGTTACAGAATAGTGGGGGTTAAGCTTGCTAACCAGCTAGCTTTACAATAAAGAGATGATCCCAGGTCAACAAGGTGGCCCTCTCTGTTCACTCCATGCTTCTTGGTAGCCCAAGCAAGAAGAGGAAGGCGAGAACTTGTCTTATTCTGAGAAAGGCCAAGTGCCGGGACCTGCCAAGGGCTCACTCAGAAGTTGGGTTGACTGTGCTGGGGAGAGCTGCAAACCCTTGTTTTGCTGTGTTTCCAGATCAGTCCTCTGAGGAAGGAAGACGCAGGAGTGTACCAGTGCTATGCGGCCAACACCCTCGGCGAGGCCCAAGCCCGTGGCACTGTGACGGTTCTGGACCTAGGGCAAGACAAGTGGTTCCCCCTCCCTGTCCCAAGTGGCCACATGTAATGGGGTAAGGTCCATGTCTGAGTGCTTTCTAGAATTTCTGTCCCTTGTGTCACAAGAGGTCTGGGGTGGCTCATAAGACATGGGATACAGGGTCTGGCACAATAGCTAAATGGCTGAATCCTTAACCTTGTACATGCTACAATCCCATATGGGCGCCTAATCTTGTCCTAGCTGCTTCATTTCCCATCCAGCTCCCTACTTGTGGCCTGGGAAAGCAGTAGAGGATGGCCCAAAGCTTTGGGACCTGCACCTGTGTGGGAGACCTGGAAGAAGCTCCTGGTTCCTGGCTTTGGATTGGTTCAGCTCCGGCCACAGCAGCCATTTGGGAGGTGAACCAGCAGATGGGAGATCTTTCTCTCTGTGTCTCCTCCTCTTTGTGAATCTGATCTGTCTTTCCTATAATACACAAATACATCTTTAAAAAGAAAAGTAGACCTGGGCCACAGCAGAAGAAGAAGTAGAGTGGGATTTTGGCCCAGCATTCACCCTGCTTCCAGTTGCAGCTGCCTGCCCATACGCACCCTGGGAAGCAGTCAGTGATGATGGTTCAAATGCTTAGGAGACCCAGGTGGAGTTCAGGGTTCCTGCCTTCGGCCTTGCTCAACCCCAACTGTTAAGGGTTCTTGGGGTATGAACCAGCAGGTGGGAGGGCTTTCTGTGTCCCTCCACCCCCACCAAAGCAGGAGGAGGTGAGGGTAGGGCTGGTTAGGTGGTGTCTCTGCTAGGTTCACTGCATCTTTTGCCTGGTGCTTCGGAGCTGTCCAGCTGAGAGCTAGGAGCACAGGTATCCACACAGATAGGAAGGCCAGTGTGCTAGTCTCTGCCTGTGGTCCTGACAGAGGTGGCAGCCGGCATGCCTGGGCCTGTGGCCATCGGGAAGCATCCTACCAGAACAGCCAAACCTCACCCTGCTGTTCCCCAGGGTTCCTCGTGGAGGCCTTGCCTTCCTGCCATCGGCACTGGATGCTTCTTCGAAGCACAGCCCAGGGATGAGGCAGGGACCAGGCTACTGTAGTAGTCACTGTAGCACAGGGTACTTGTGACAGCTGGGCTTTGTGTCTATTCCCCGCCTACAGGTGGGGATGACTTTTTTTCTTACTTCTTTCTTTTTCTTTCTTCCTTTTTTTCTCTTCCTTTCTTTTTTTCACTAGTCAACTTAAAAAATTATTTGTCTACTTGAAATGCTGATTTACAGAGGGAAAGAGAGAGGGAGGAAGAGTGATCTTTCATCCGCTGAGTCACTCCCCAAACGGCTGCAACAGCAAGAGCTGGACCTGTCTGAAGCCAAGAGCCAGGGCTTCTGGGTCTCCCATGTGGCTGTAGGGACCTCAAGTATGTGAGCCATTTTCCACTGGCTTCCCAGGCACATCAGCAGGTAGCTGGGTTGGAAGTGGAGCAACTTAGAATCAGCATCCATTTAGGATGCAGGTGCCACACACAGCAAAGCAATATGCCACAGTGCCAGCCCCCATCAGCCTACTTTTGCTCCCAAACCTTGCCTGTCTGCAGCCAGAAGACCCTTGGTTCTCACTAACTTTTCAGGTCAGTCTTATTTAATGTTTTTTCCCAGGTGCAATGAATGTCATGTGTGCTTATGGCCAGTCCAGTGGCCAGAGTAGGTTATGTGGCCATGCAGATGGAGTGGGAACAGGTGCACTGCTCCTGGGGGAAGTCACAGGCTGGAGCTTCTCTCTGAGCTGCCCACCTCCTGGCCTGCCATGGGCCTCTTGGGTCCTGCAGACCCTGTCCCTAGCTTCTCCCATCTGGGAGCAGAGGATCCTGGCTCCGGCTGGCGGGGAGCACCTGGTGGATTATCACAGAAGAGACTGCTTCTTCTCTAATCCTTTTCTCCTTCTTCTTTGTAGGGTCACAGGAGGATGGAGCAGTCAAGGAAGGGATCATCTTGCTTTGTGAAGACCCAGGAGAGCTCTTTGTAGATGACCCCTTTTGTATGGTTTTTAAAGTTAGATATAAATTAGATTCGTATGCAGATGTAGTTTTAAGTGAGGGAAATGGATGGATGTACATGTGGCCCTTCTGCTTTTGAAATGAGATCTTTTTTTTTCTTTTAACTCTTCCCTCCTAGGGAAGACTGGCTGGCATGTATGTCATTGTCAAGGGTGGGAGCCAAGGCCCTGGCAGCTGGGGTGGGACTCTTAACCTCAAGGTGTGTCTCTCCTCCAATCCACTGTGTTCCCTGGATGGGAACCAGGGAAAGGAGAGCACCTCCAATCCTGTGGGGGCTGGGACCCTCCACCAGGTACAGCTCAGCCTTGCCACTGCTCCTGGTGCTCGCGTTGAGTGAGACAACGTAACCTGTGGGACCAAATTCCCTGCCTTTATGCCCATTACATGTCTAAAATTCTAGGCTGTTGTCCCTTTGGCTTTGGAGTTTGGGAGCATGAGGTCTATTTGCATAGTCGTTTGCATGTCCATCCCTGGCTTGGGTGGGGAGTCCCTTAGAAAGACCCCTTCACCTTCGGAGGTCTCAGTAACGCCAGTGGAATAAGGAGGAAGGGAATGATATGTGATTTTTTTTTTCACATTTGAAAACACTGTGATCCCTCTTCTTTCAATCAAGTTAGGGTTGAAATTGAGCACCTTGGGAGTTGGGTCGGACCCCTGTGTTCTGCTTTCATGGTCTGGGGTCATGGGTCAGTTTCCCTGTGATTTAAATGATGGGGAGAGGGCTTGGGCAGACACTTGGTGAGGCCTCAGCAGAAAGGATGTGGCTGCTAGAACCTGGGAGGAGGGAGATGTGCAAAGCCGGGCACCTGCTCACAAGCAGCTTGGGCCCCTGCACACATGCGCAAACACACACACAAACACACACACACTACAGCTGCTCTGCCTCAGCTGTGTCTGCTCTGACCCTGGGCCTGGGGCGAGAGTGGAGGGAGCCCCGTGGTGAGTGGAGGGAGTACCAGGCATCAAGACCATTTGGGGCTGGCTGCCTTGAGCATCTGAAGTATAAGTACAGACAGAAGCAATACCTATTACACTGTGACATCTTTGTCCAATCCTAAAAGGCAGATGCAAGTACCAGTGCCCAAAGCTTCCTCTGGGGCCAGCAGCAGGACTGCGGTGGCCACTGTTGTCCTGGGGGAAGCATGAGTCTCCCTGGCACCACCAACCCAAACCCTGGGCTGTGTATTTTTCTTACCCAATTTTATAGATGTTGTGACCCCTGCACCCTGGAAATAAATGCCTTTAAGGATACACTCTTGTGGCGTCTGTCTCCGAGGGAGGTAACTGCCTGCCTGTGAGCCTGGGTTCCTGCTGACATGATTTGTCCTTCATGCATTGTGCATGTTTTTCTCCTTATGCACCTCAAGCTAAACAAGCCTTCCTTACTTCCTCCTGTGCCTGGGCATGGTCACGTGGCCACTTTGTTGGGTTGCTCCTTGAACATGCCCAATCATTTTATGGCTGTTGCCAGCCTGCTCCTTCCAACCCCCCTCTCACTAGAACCAACCGCCATGTGTGTGGCCCCAATAACTGTTTCTCCCACTGAAATCTGCTCTTGGGACATCTCCACATGTAGCTCGTTGCATCCTATGGGTGCCATGGGTGCCATATGCCAGGTGATGGTCGGGGCTGGGGTCTAGCACTCAGACTCTGGTGGGAGTGAGTGGGGCCATGACCCATGACCCCATGAAGCAGGTCACTCTTCTTCTGATGTCTCATCCCAGCACGCATGTCACCCCCCTCCTTTTGCCTCATCACACAGGCATTGTGTAATCTCCTGGCTTCACAGGAAGAAGGGTGCATGCCCTGAGAGAGAGACCACATCCATGCATCTGTTACTGGTGTGCTGTAACCATGTTGTTCTACTGGTAGCTATGATGCTCACCTCTTACTGTGCCTAGCTTAGAAATTTGACCTTACCATTGGGATGCATGTGTTCACGAGAGTCCACACAGTGCAGGGTTCTACGATCACAGGTTCAGGGTCCAGTGAGGATCTTGAAACAAACCCCGTACCCTCCCACCTCTGTCACGTTCCCCATCCGGAGGGACTGCTGTAATGCTCAAGCCAGAGGCAACGCCAGATAAAGCCACATTTCACCTGGTACAGAAACTGGCTGTGATCAAAGTGGCTGTTTTCCTCCAGGCTTCAGGGGAACATTCATTCCTCTGCCTTTGCAGAGTACTGCCCACCTCCCACCCCCCAGGATGGAGGAGAAGCATGTAAGATTGGGCGTATCAGGTCGCCATGAACGTCACCCCGATGGATTCCCTCTTCCTCAGGCTTTGCCAGGGCCCGTAGAACATTAAACCAGAGTCCAGTTGTTCTGTGGTCTTTGAATTAATGAAGAGAAATCCAAATGGTTTGGCATCTGCAGCTTAAGGATTGTCTGTCACTTCAGAACAGAGCTGGATCCCAGAACAGGCCCGTGCTCTCTGCTTCAGCTCCATGGGGCTGACTTCTTGCTCCTAGTAAATGATTGAGGCTGCCTTTGAATCCAGCTGTGACTGCATCCAGGGCCAAACACTGGATGGCACCAGGAGGCAGACAAACCTGTACTGCCTTTATCTGCAGCTCTGCCTCACACCAAAGTGTTCCCCGTGATGCTGGGGAGTGTTTGATGGTCAAGGGGGGGGGGCGGTGGGGGTGGATATGACTTGTCCAGGTGAAGGAATGGAGTAGATGAAAGCCTGGCTTCTCCCAGGTGTGAAGGCACCTGTCGCACACAGGAAGTTGAGTCCCATTGGTTCTGACAGCCTCAGAGTCCTGGTCTCAGGCACAGGAAGTCACTGGTGGCAGTAGCTATGTAGGACCTGCCTCTGTTATGGCAGATGCACATGGCTGTCCCTTGGTAGAATGGTTTAGGTGCAGTCCTTGCTCCCTGTATCCAGGGGTCCTTGCTTACCATGTGTAGACTGGAGACAACAAGCGGGGGTGGGGTGGGCAGTCCATGACACAGCACATGTATAGTAGCATTTAAAGGTCACAGTCTCTGTCCTCCCCAAGGTCACTGTACTTTTCACCCTGGTCTCAACTCTCTCCCCAGCCAGACTGTTGAAATTACCGAGTTCTTGAGCTCCCTTGGTTCCTCGGATCCAACCCAGAGAGCCAGCAGCCAGGGGCAGAGCTTGCATGGCTTTGTTGTGACCTCCTGTGTGTACACCCCAGTACACCCCACCTGTGGCCCCTGGCAAACTGATTCCAGGTAAGCTGCTTGCCAGAGTTCTCAGCTCCACCCCTTGCTTTGGAGGCCTATAGGGAGGCACGCATCACGCAAAGGCACCCAGCATGTGGCCGGCCCACTCGGTTGGATGGTGGCTGCGTGTGAATTGCAGCATCAGCTCCCCCATGCAGGTCTGGGAAGGTAGGCCTGGACGCAGGGACAGTGCCCAGCTCCATGTCCCCATGTACCCACAAGTCAGAGCAGTAGGGGCAGAAGTGGGGCATGGCTGTGCATGTGGGGTTACTAAAGAGGGGCTGGACTGACTCCCCAGCCGGTCACACAGTGTATATGACAGCTCCAAATGAAGCTCCTGGAAGAATTCTGTCCCATCCTGGGATGCCTCAGCCAATTTCCTCTGGTAGCTCAGACAAATGATGGCATAGAAAGGGGGTGACCCCTAGGAGGGGGCAAAGAGGAGACCAAAAAGACTTCAAGCCTTCACAAAGCATTTTCAAGCTAACCAAAAGAAACATGAGGAAGACCATCATCATGCGGCTTACAGGTAACAGGTTGCTAAAGAGCCGTGTGGGCATCTATCTACAGTGTGGTCTCAGAAGTCCAGGCTCTACGCTGACCAATAGCAGGAAGAGAGAACTGGATCTGAAGGTCCCTGACTTACAGGAGTCCACAGCCTGCCAGGGGAGACAGTCAGAGACTGGGATGAAAAGTACAACGACAAGGGGAAGGACAGAGGCCACAAGAGACAAGAAACATTTCTGAGGCTGGCCTCCCACCAGCAGCAAAACTAATAGACAAGGCAGGTCCTGAGGTTGCGAACTCTAGTGCCCGCTGCAACTCAGATGATGCCCTCAATGATGGATTTAATTTGATGGCTTCAAGTGAGCACAGTGCTAGCCAGAGCTCCCAAATGAGATAGAATTCTCTGGGCAGGGACCAGGGCTTCTCTCCATGGGTCTTCAAGCTGCACTGTTATCCAGCCAGAGGAAAACAAAGATGAAAAAATCAAACCATGGCAAGTACTGTCACACCCATTCACTGGATGACTGTCCTGGGATTCTGCTTTGCCCAGAAGCAAGAGAATATTGACACAAAATGGATTTGCAAACAGAAGAAATTAGTTTATTTTCCTTAAGTTTGAAATGAAATGAATTCACATAAGTGAATAACCCAGTTGTTTCCAGTGTGTTTGCAAAGTTATGCAAACGACCTCCAGTGATTGATTCTAGAACATTCTCAAAGACTTTTTTCTCCCCCTCCTCCCACCATTCCCTCCTTTACTGGTCCCTGGTAATCATGAATCCACTTTTGTCTCAGTTGATTTGCCTCATCTGAATATTTCACATAAATGAAACCATGCAATATGCAGCCTTGTATTCCAGCTTTTCTCATTTAGCATGTCGTGTTCAAGTTCACACATGGTGTAACAGGTGTCAGTACCTCCTTCCTCTTTGTGCCTGAATGGCCCAAGGAATGTTCCATGGGAACAGTTTGCATATGCAACTGATGCTGATGGACAATTAGGGTGTTGGAGTTGACTTTAAAGGTTTAATTATGTAAATGTATTTCTTGCCTCAGAGAAAGAAAATCAGCAGTAAAATCAAGAACAAGTAAGCCAGAAAGCCAATGACACATTCTCAGAAAAGCACTCCTGGTTCTAGATGAAGTCAGTGAAGCATGGGGCCATGATTTAGGGTTCACAAAATTCCAATGCCAGCCCATCCGGGTCTGTGCGCAATCCATCCACTAAGCCATCGGATTAAACCATTGGGCACTGGAAAGTCCTTGTGGGAGGACTAGGATGATTGATCACTGGCTTAAATTTGTCTTCCAGAGATGCCAAAGGTTTCATGAAAGTCAAGCAAAGGCCACCAAGGGGGCTGGGACTGGGCAAGCCACGGGCAGGACCCTGAGTCCAGCTTCTCTCCCACCTTCAATAAAACAGCTCTGGCTTAGCTGCTACACCTGCTGGGGTTGCCTCTAACATGTCTTTGGAATGAAGAACACGGATCCACAGCAGAAGAGAAACATCAGCAGGTCCAGGTGGTAACGGGGTGATACTGGGGCGGTACTGGGGCATTGTGGCTGTGGTTGTTCCTACGAGTTCTTCTGAGGAACCTTGATGGTGACTGTCTTCACCTCTGTATAGGCCCGCAGCCCGTCCTCTCCCAGCTCCCTCCCATTGCCTGATTCCTTAAAGCCCCCGAATGGCGTTTGGCAGGAGACCACGTTGTAGGTGTTCACCCACACGGTCCCGGCCTGCAGGGCCTGGGTGAAATACAAGGCCTTGTCCAGGTCCTGGGTGAAGATGGCGGCGGCCAGGCCATACCTAGTGTTGTTGGCCCTCTCAATTACCTCCTCCATCCTCCTGAACTTGAACACAGGCTGCACGGGTCCAAAGATTTCCTCAGTGGCTATCTTCATGTCATCCCGCACGCTGCTGAAGACTGTGGGCTTGATGAAGAAACCTTGCTCCCCAAAGCGCTCCCCACCACACAGGAGCTTCGCCCCCTCCTTCTGGCCCTGCCAGATGTAGCCAAGGACCCGGTCGAATTGCTCTTTGTCCACCTGGGGTCCCTGTTGGGTGTCCAATGCAAAGGGGTCCCCAACTTTCCTCTGCTTGGCTTTCTCCACGGTTCTCTCGAGAAACTCATCATAGATGGATTCCTCAACAAAGGTACGGGAGCCGGCGCTGCAGCATTGGCCCATGTTGAAGAACACGGCTTCGTGGCACTGGTCCACGGCATGGCCCAGGTCAGCATCGGCCAGCACGATGCTGGGGCTCTTCCCACCCAGCTCCAGTGTGACCCTCTTGAGATTCGAATCACCGGCTGCCTTCTGGATCAGGTGGCCCACCTCTGTGGAGCCTGTAAAGGCGACCTTGTCAATGTCCATGTGCTGGGCGATGGCCGCTCCCGCTGTGGGCCCGTAGCCCGTGATGATGTTCACCACACCTGGAGGGAAGCCCGCTTCCTGGATGAGAGAGGCCAAGTACAAGGCAGAAAGTGGCGTCTGCTCTGCCACCTTCATGACCACAGTGTTGCCAGTAGCAAGCGCCGGGCCGAGCTTCCAGCCCTGCATGACCAAGGGAAAGTTCCATGGGATTATTTGGCCACAGACCCCAACCGGCTCGTGTCGAGTGAAACAAAAGTGCTCACCGTCCATGGGAATTGTCTTGCCATGCCACTTGTCGGCCCAGCCAGCAAAGTAGCGGTAGATCTTGATGAGCAGGCCCAGGTCCACGGTATAGGCGTCCCGGAAAGGCTTGCCGTTGTCCAAGGTCTCCAGTGAAGCCAGGTAGACACGATCCCGCTCCACCAGGTCAGCCAGGCGGCTCAATAGCCAGCCACGCTCCGACGCATCCATCCGGCGCCATGGGGAGCCCAGGCGAAAGGCCTCCCGGGCTGCTCTCACAGCCCGATCCACATCGGCCCGGTCCCCTTCAGCCACATGCCCAATGACCTCCCCCGTGGTGGGGTTGATGGTGGGGAAGGTCTTCTTGCTGGCCGCATCCTGCCACTCATTGTTAATGAATAACTGGTTGTAGCGGATGTCCGGGTTCAGGATGGGGCTTGGCAGAGCTGCCACCACGGAGGAGGTGGAATAAGGGGTGGTCCTGTTGAGCAGGCAAGGCAGCCGTGGCAGCAGGACACGCAGCATGCTGTCCACTCTAGAGAGGGGCCTGCAGAACTAGATACAAGATGGGAGACGTCACCAAAAGCCCCCCAAACCAGATGCTCCAAGAGTTTAACATTAAAGGTACCAGGACCCCAGTGCTCACACCCTCACTTGCTCTGAGTCTCTGCTAAAATGCACTTGGCCACCTGCTGGACAATCACAACTCCTCCCCACTGCAAAACTGCCCACCCTGGGTTACCTGCCTCTGCCTCACTTCCCAAATGCCATCTTCACACACTGGCCTGCCTGGTACCCTGTAAGTACACCTTCCTGGCAGCAGAGGTCACTGCAAAGTTCCTGACACAGCTGCCTAACAGTCAATTACTGAGTGATTTAACAAGACCACATAGGCTACAAAGCACAGAAAAACCACTCTGGTCTCCAACTTTATTTCTCTCTTGTGGGAACAGCCCCTTTCCACTGCTACTCTCTCCCGGGTCAGAAGCCACAGTGTCCATTACCAGAGGACCCATGGGACACCCAGCTAATCCCCCACCTGCACTCAGCTCAAACTCCAGCCTGCCTGGGTGCTAACTCAGAACATCCTGCTGCGCTCCTACAGCCAAAAGCAAAACAGGACACAAAACCATACCGCCTGACCCTTGTGACTGCTGGTGTGCCCTGGCCCACTGTCATGGGAGTGCAGGGGGCGGGGCGGGAAGAGGTACCCATCTCTGCTAATTTCTTGGGCCTCCTGAAACCCCTCATAACCGTGTCCAGGCCATCCAGGCCAGCTTTTCCCAGGCCACAAAAGCACCGCCCTCAGCTACAGTAGAAATCAAAGGTCAGCCTTGCTTCACTGCACCCCGAAACCCCAGTTCCCAGTGTGTGCCATGCCTTGTGGGGTTCCGTTGAATGGGTCTAGCCTATGGACTGCCTGGCACGAGTTGAGCGGAAACACTTCCAATACTCACATCCCACACTGGAGTTAATTTCAGCTTCCTGCCGATGCAAACCCTGGGAGATAGGGGTGAAGCCTCAAGTGACTGAATTCCCGCCACCCGCAGGGGAGACATGCGTTGTGTTGCTGGCTCGTGGCAGCCATTGTGGGCATTTGGGAAATGAAAAAGCCCATGGGAACTCTGTCTCTCACTTGAAAAAATAATAATAATAAATCATTAAAGCAAAAACAATTTTTAAAGCCTGGCATTGTCCATTTAGGACATCAGAGCTGATGGCACCTTAGAAACCAACCCAGCACAGGACCCAGGCACAGGTCCCAAGCAGGACTGCAGGGTCCCAGAGGTGCAGTGAGCCAAGAGGAGTCCATTCATCTGCAGTGAAGACACTAACGGAAGTGTAGACACGAAACTACCACAGCACAGACACAGTCTTTGAGACATGTTCAGTGAAAATTGAGCAGTGTGCTGAGTTCCTAACTGTGAAAATGGCTGCCCTCCTGCCAGTGTTTGAATCCTTCTGCCTCTGCATCTCACGGCAGTCCTGCCCCACCTGCTGGCCTACTGACCCCCAGCACTCCTCACTCCTGTGCAGGGACACAGTCCCACAAGGAAAGTCCTCCCCTGGGGAGGCCCTGGGCCAGAAGGTGCATCAGGGGTCCAAGGAGAGCAAAGTCCAAGAGGAGGGTGAACTGGTGGGCACCAAGCCACAGGGTGTGGTCAGAGGGGTTCATTGGGCTGTGCCTATGCCTGGGGTGGGCAATTCCACCAGCAGCAGGCAGAATGAATGTCCACGGGTCCACTGCACTTGGCAGCCTGCAGGCAGCCTTCTCAGTCTGTGTTCCCCACAGGCATGACCCCCTCCCCGCGGCCAACTAGCCAACCACCACTCCTCTCAACATGAGGCCTTGGGCTCTCCCAGGCCACAGCAAGGAAGCACAGTGGACTTCCTCTGGGACTTCCACAACCCAGGCTGTGCATTTCCTCCAGATATGGGACTGTTCATCTGTTTTTGAGAGGCAGATAGAGAGCCAGGACTTCCCCATCTGCTAGCTCACTCCTCAAAAGCCAGCAAAGAACCCAGCACAGTAGCCTAGTGGCTAAAGTCCTCGCCTAGCATGCACTGGAGGACAGGGCAAAGTCTTGGGACCTTTCACCTGTGTGGGAATCCCGGAAGAGGCTCCAGGCTCCTGGCTTTGGATCGGCTCAGCTCTGGCTGTTGCGGCCACTTGGGGAGTGATGGAAGATCTTCCTCTCTGTTCCTCCTTCTTTCTGTATATCTGACTTCCAATAAAAATAAATAAATCTTAAAAAGGTGGGGCATAAATCTTAAAAGGGGGGCAGCAATAGGGACACCATCCACCAACCTGGTTCTCCCACCTGCCACCTCCTGGGGTGCACATTCGCAGGGAGATGGAACTCTCAGGCCTCAAACCCAGGCACTTGCCTATGGGCTGTGACCATCCTAACCAGGCATTTAACCGCTAGGCCAAACAAGGCCCATTCTTTGCAGTTTGCCTTGTTGGAGTATCCGACTTTTTTGGTACCCACCTCACTCTCTTCCCTCGGCCTGACCAGCGGCGATGGAGGTGGACGGGTGTCTGGGTCCTCAGGACTCACTTAGGGCTACCCCAGCTCGGGCAGGAGTAGGGAGTGAGGTTCGGTCCTACAGTGCAACTTGGGGCGCTAGGGAGAATCCCCCTCCAACGCGGGGCGAAGGCCTCCACCGCGCGGTCACGCCTGCGGCCTGCGTCGGGAACCGCGCACCGGCAGCTGGTCGCAGAGATGTCCGTTACCTGCGGAGCGCACAGACCCGGCCGGGGTTCCGGAGCCAGTGCCGGGCTGGAAGGCGGATCTCCCGGGCGCATCCGCCGCCCTCCCGCCCACCAGGGCTCACTGCAGACCCGCCTCCGTGCCGGCGGCCAATGCGGCCGCACGCGCCTCTTCCGGCCGCGCCACTCAGACTCCGGGTCCTAAGAGCGCTCTGCGTAGACCCTAGGAAGGGCCGGGGTGTGGCCCGACCGTCGCGCGGAGCCTAGACCCGGATGCATTTTCTTTCGTATTTCTTTAGCATGTTCCTGCCCTGCCTTTATTGCTTCGCCCTGAGTTCACTTATTTATGGTAACTTCTTCACTTCCACTGTACTCCTTCCCAGGTCCTTTATGATTTTTTAAAATTTGTACTTTTTAAAAAAGATTGTTTTGGTTATTTGAAAAGCAGACTGATATAGTGAGAAGAGAGAGGGACAGAGAGAAAGAGACTGGTTTGCTTCCCAAACGGCTGCAAAGTCAAGGACTGGTTGGGAAAAAAAACAGGACACAGGAGCTTCTTCCAGGTCTCCAAAGTGGGTGCAGGGGCCCAAGGAGTGGGGACATTTTCCACTGCTTTCCCAGGTGCGTTGGCAGGGAGCTGGATCCAAAGTGGAGCAGCCAGCACGCCAGCTAGCAACCAAGTCCGAGGCCAGCATTGCAAATAGCATCTTAATTCACATACCGCAACACCAAGCCCAATTCTGTGCATTTTTTAAAAAGTGCATTTTTTTGTTCTAAGAACAAAAGATATAAGCGTAATATAGAAGCTTAGAAAACACAGAAGAGAAAATCACCTTTCACCCAAAAGTAGTAATTATTAAGGTTCTTCCTACCAGCCATTTTCCTTCCATATCTTTTTAGGACTTCTTTTAAGTAATGAAAATGAGATCACCGAGGAACCTCAATTTGTCTGCTTTCTGAAAGCACGGTTAGCTTTTTCTTCTGTCTCATTCTGTGTGCTGGGTGGGACCACCACCTCAGGAGAGAGCTGTTGAGTGCTGGGTTGTGTGCTTTCGTCAGGATGCTGAGATGGACATCCCGGACCCACGCACGCACTCACTGTGACTCCATGTTGGCCTCCAGCTTTGCAAGGCCTGGAAGCTGAAAGCTGTGCTCCCTGGCTCCTTTGCAACTACCTGTCCTGGCTGCTGCTCAGCACTAGAACTGCTGTAGTGGGACTTTGCAGGCACCATCCTCTGTTTCTGTAGGAAAAAAAAAAATTAAAAATAAAGGACCAAAATGCTAAATGCTTGTAAGTGAAGGCTTTTCTGGCAGGTAAAAAAAAAAAGGGGGGGAGGGGGGGTTTCAAAGAAATGCCAAAATGTACCTGGGTGAGAGCATGTACTACTGCAAACACTGCAATGCGACAGCTCAGCTTGGGGAATCTGACTAGCCAACGGAAGTTTAGGGACATGCAGGTGTAGCTTTATGTAAGCAGTTGTATGGACAGTGCTATGGTACTGAAATATCCAATCCAAAGTTCTGTAACTGAATATGTATGCGGGAATTTAATGTGATTTGTGCTGGGGTATGTAAGACAGTGCTCTGCTTTGTTTAGGGTCCAGAATTTGGAAGGAAAAAAAATAATAAAAACCCTTTGTGTCCACCAGTATAAAGAATAAAGCTGTTTTTCCTGTTGAGAGCCTTGGTGTGCATTCTGCCTCTCTGTCCAACTTTCCCACAATCCGATGCCAAGAGTGGGCGGTGGTAGCTAGCTGAAAGGCGTTGTCCCGGTCCTTGGGCAGAAGGGGGTTTGGGGGATGGTAGAGGGCATCGCCAGCAGGAGGGCAGACCTGTGAGGCTCTCTCGCAGCCTTATTCTTTGCCCTTCCTTCAGCCCAGCTGCGGCAATTGGACACTATAGCTGCAACATCTTTGCCCCACTACCTGCTCTTACTATCCCTGCTGCAGGAATGTCTTGAGCAAAGAGCTGCTGGGTGATCTCTGACGGGAAGCAGGCTGAGGGACGAGATCTATGTTGCTCCAGAAGCCAGACCGTGAGCACCTGCTTGCTATATGACATCCCTGCCTACCCACACAATGTTCCCGTGGTTTTAGCTGGACCGAAATCACATGGTTCTTTCTCTGTGAGCTCCAGCTCTGTGGAATCCTTTGTTGCTGTGACTTCCTTAGGGTGGGTCCAGTCAAGCTCCACAACACAGCCCTTCCTGGAGGCACGAGGCTTTGCCTTGCCACTTAAATACTCACGCTTTCTCATCCCTTGCAAAGCCCCTCCTGCCTCCTCCATGGCAGTTGGTGGGCAACCCAGCGTTCCTGGGACACTGGCCATGGCACCGCCTTGTTGGTAATGAATGGGTAAGGTGGTTACGAACAGGCCTTACTGAAATGACCTCCAGTATAAGGACACAGGCTCAGTTTGCCCTGGCAAGCTGGAGCAGGCCTGAGAGGCTGGGGCAGATATGAGGTGGTGACCACAGGGAAGGGCTCCAGGCTTGGACAACTGAAACTGGTGGTGGCGGAGGGGGTTTATCACCCTAACTTGAGGGACAGAGTTGTGCCTCCTAATTTTCTGAAGGGAGAAAATGGGGTCTGTGGGAATCTTAGGGGGCAGAGCCTGGACAGCAAGGGAGGTTAGCTGGAGGAACGAGTCCCTCATCACCAGAGGAACGTAAGGAGAGATAAAAGTCACCTGACAAAATCCAGCAGAGGGGGATGGATAAAGCCTGAACTAGACGGGGCCTCAGACATGGCTACGCAGCCTCCTGGGCCTTCCCTGGAGATTGTAAATGACCAGATATGGGTCAGAGTGCGAGAGTTTTTGTTTTTGTTTTTTCAATCCCACAAATGCTTCTGGTGTGCAGCCAGATTTGGGGAGCAGCAGCCCAGAAGGCCTTCAGGGATACTGTGTTTCCATCATGGATGTTTCCAGAAAAGACTCTGGGCGTTTCTGCTGTGAGAGAAGGATGCAATGGTCAAGGCTGAATGTACAGCACGAGTCATTTATGTAAATGTTTGATGCCTTTTCAGCGATTTGGAATTAAGCTATTTAATTAACAAAAACAAAAACAAAACCAAAACCAAACTCCAGGTCATGCGACAGATCCCAGGCCTGGAGCCGCTGTGGGTGTTTGAACTAAAAAGATGGAAGAGGAAAGGCAAGATCCCACAGGCCAGTCAGGTCATTACCAGCAGGGAGCATCACACAGGGTTCTGTTTCCATGGAATTGATGTGGAAGAGAAGCTATTTCCACCCTGCAGGGCATCAGAGCCTTATATGTCCAAGAAGTGACTGAGAAGAACGGCCAGGCTTGCTGGATTCTAAACAAAGGCAAGTACGCTGCTCTGCTTCTCTCCGCCATGAGCAGAACTGTTCGCTGCACTTGAACTGGAGATGAAACACTGGGTCAGGACCTGCAGAGGTTTTCAGTGAAGGGAAGTTTAAACATCTCTATGGGCACACGTGTTTTTTCCTCATCACCCCCCCCCCCCGCTGGGTGGATCTCAAAGTGGAGCTTGTACTGTGAGAACACCAGTGATGTCTGCGTGTAGTCTAGCCAAACCAGCGCTGAGCATTTCCGGCCATCTCTGTTCTCCTCCTGCCCTCCTTTCCTCCTTTTCCTTGCCTCCCTCTGAACCTAGGTTTATAGGAGGGAAAACTGAAACCCAGAAAGGGACAGGGACTTGTCCAGGTCACACAGGGACTCAGCATCCAAGTTCAAACTGGAAACCCACTTCTTGCTCAAGCGTACAATGAAGGCTGCTTGGCACAGAGCAGGTGGCAGGTGTTGCCACCTGCAGACGTGGCTTTGGGGGCCCTCAATAAGCACCACGTTCAAGGTTTTAGGCAGCAGACAATGCGGGTGGTCGCTTTCCTTTCACTCCAGCATTTCCAGGTTTCTTATAAATAGCCTGCTGGCACTTGGGTGAGTCTCCAACTCTCTGTATTAAATCTCTTCCTATTCAACACAGCTGGAGTGGCTTTAGTTCTCCCACACTTTGATAGCCTTGATGTGACTAAGGGATGCTCAGGCAGATTAGGAGGAGGGCAGGGCAGGGCAGGGGAGGGCACAGCTGCACCTGGGAGGCATGGTTCGTTTCTCAGCGTTTTGGCTAAGATCACGTGCAGCCTTGGCCCTAGCAGAGCAGAAGTTCTGGCTTGGATTTCACTGCCCTTGTGTGGTTCCCCTTCTTATGTGCAGGATATAAGTCACAGGCAGGTGACCCAAACAGGAACTGGACAGTGTGACCTGTACTCTCCCTAGCTCCACTCCATTTTAGCAGGTTTAGGTGGAGCAAGGGGAGGCACTGAGCAGAAGCCCAGGGATGAGATTCTGAAAGAGAAGGTAGAATGTACCCCACCATGGAGCCTGAGGGTGGGTGGCCTGCATACCATCCCTGTCGGCTCACCGTTTCCCCAAAGGACAGGGTAACAAGTAGCACAAGATTATGCATATTGTCTGGGCTGTGTTTGTGAGGAGACTCCAGATCAGGAACCCCCCCACATCTATGCACACACACATCCACATGCAAAAATAGACACACATATGCACCCACACACCCATATGCACATGCACTTATATCCACACACACAACCACACCCACAACCACACACATACACACACCCATATACACAAAAACACACATACACATACCTATACACATATACTGATACACACACCTAAAACTACACCCATACACAAGTCAATACAGACACACACGCATACCCATAAATATACTCACACCCACCCACTCACTTACACACATATACACACACATACACACATACATACTCCCATACACACACATACAACCATACACACTTACCCATATACCCATAGATACGCATACACACACATACACACACTTATATACATACATATGCCCATGTATACGCATACACTCACTCCCACCCATATATTTACACACATACATACAACCATACATATATGCCCACACTCCCACATACATGGCACGTGTACTATTGGCTGCAGCACAGCTGTATATTATTTCTTCCCTTGGAGACATTGCATATTCCCAGTTTCTCTTGAAAAATCAGAAGATCT